TATCTTATGTATTTAAGGTAGCCACAGTAAAAAACACTGTTCCATTTTACAAAAGTTGTCACAAGCATGAGTTATAATAGGAAAAGTAATATTCCCGACAGACGAGTTTGGTTTTACCTTAATAAATTATGGTGACTAAATGTCATAATTCATGTAATAAAGTAACAACTAGAGAGAGAGAGAGAGAGAGGGAGAGGGAGAGGGAGTGAGAGNTAGGTGTTTTGAATTTGTATCATTTTATTAACCTTTTGTTCATTATTCCATCCTCACTATTATTTTCTTGTGCTGCGCAAATGCGGGTTAGATAGACAGACAGATAGATAGATAGAGAGAGAGAGAGAGAGAGAGAGAGAGAGAGAGAGAGAGAGAGAGAGAGTAAAGATTTTTGGAAATATTCGATCTACAATTGAGTAGAAATTTCCTTAGTAAGGGTATAAGTCAATTTAACTAAGGATCTAATAAAACAGATCCAGAATGATTTTTAGCACCAATTCGTTTTTATGGGACCTATCAAGTCCGACATTTATGTAGCGGCGATTGATCAATTGAAACGGCGAATGAGGCCCAGGCAAGCTCTGCTCAGAAAAGATCAAATTTCTCCTTTCGACAGTAACAGCCTGAAGCGATGTTTACTGTCAATTTTCACAGTTCTTTCTAGCGGAAAATGGTTCCTTTCTGAAACGGAAAGAAATAAGAGAAAAATTTATAGGCACATGATATACTTGCTACTTCTTTTATTTTCGAAAATTTAATATGCACTTCGCCTTCCCAATGAACATAATCGTTAGTTGATTTACAGGTAGAGTTAGTTAAATTTACTAAAATTATTTCCATTCTATGATAAGAAGTGTACGCAGGTGGGATCTAATAAAACTGTTTTGGTATATTAGGTCGAAAATTGTAAGATTCTTGTCCGAACATTCTTGCTAATGAGCATAGGAGCTGAAAAAATGTTCGAACTTGTGGTTTTCTGCTGTTATTGTGATTTTCTGTAGTCATAACGAATAGACATTTTTGTAGTGGATTAGCCCGGGGAAAATGTTTTTCTACGATGTCCGATGGTTTGCATAAAAATTCATCACTCCTCCCCACACTTTTGATTCCAAAACGACGTCAAACAAACAACCCGCAACCAAAGTAGTTAGTCATGGATATGACTTGATAACCAGGTTCATCCTCAAACTGCTCACCGAAGTAACGTTTTCCTGATAACGATTTACAACTCATTACAATTCGATCCCCACAAATTGTTCGAATCCTTTGGAAATTCTGTGTCACATTTGACTTCGTACTGTTCCATCAGTCTTATTTACATCGTGGAAAAATGCTCCAGAAGCTTCTACTCATCAAGTTGCATTCCATATTAAAATCCTTAAATCATATTCCATAAGTTCAGCTTCACTCCATTATAAGCCAGTATGTACCAGTCGTACCCAACCTTGAGTGAAGCAGTGCTACCCTCGTGTCATCCTGGACACTTCTGAAGCTCTTGACCAGGTATGACACCTAGGCCTACTGAAGAAGCTTAAAAGAACAATTTCTTCCACTTATTAATTCATTCTTAAATCTTATTTATCCGGTCATCTGTTTCATGTAATCCACGGTTTCGCTAGATCTACTATTTAGCCTGGCAACGCTGATGTTCCTCAAAGATTTATGCTGCACCATTCCTCTATACATCTACTCTGCTTACCTTCCCCTTCACCTTGTTTTAAAACTCCCTGGCTTTAGACTTGGAATATCATGGTCAACAAAAACAAATCCCACCATACAGTTCTTCATCAGCAATATTAAAATACCAACGACAAACCGATAGGACTGTATGCAAACAAATGGGTAAATTGGAAGCCACCAGACTGAAAAAGCAGACTGTATACAGAGAAACGAAATGGTCAATCCAAACTGACGCTATAGGGATAAAACTTTATAGTGAACTACTTTATCGACTTATGAACTGAAATTCTACTAGATAACAAAGAACTTCAATCGAAATCGTATTCAACCCTTACAAACCTAAGTCTACCGTACAATGTATAAATGCTATTTAAGGAGCCATACTAGTCAACACGACCTAAACATCTACCGTCCTAGACCTTGTGAAATCCTGATATCTAAAATTCTACTCCAAATCTCAACCTAATTCATTAAAACATAATCTATTCCTTGTTACTTTTCCTACGAACCCTCCCAGACTAAAACGGTTGTCCCAGGTTTGAGCGGCACAAATATTTGCGCAACGAAATAAATGTATAATTGCGGTACCACTGGGGGAACGTCGTTCTCGGTACTCACGCTATGAAACCATATTCGCCAAATATTATTATTATATTATGTTGTATTCAGTTTAAAATTAAAATAAAAAACAAAAAATGTATAATTGCTCTGGAAGATTTTTCAAATTCAACATTAGTACTATCGTTGAAAAGCCTATATCAACAGCCTTTGGATTTTGTCATTATAAGTGGGGAAAATGAGAAATAAAAAGAAATTCAATAGTTCTGTTTTTATCTCTAAACGTAATTTATTGACAGATGCCATGTTGCTGCCATTGTATATAGATTAGAGGGTTGTAACCCCTGTACAATTTCCTGGAAAATAGGCATTTGAAGGGCGCGGAAAACTATTTCTTTGTTGTTTCTTGCTAAAAGCATATTTTTAATGCTCTTTGCAAAACCATAAAAATTAAAAATCAGTCTTCGCTCGAGCAAATTGGAACATCTATTGATATACAATGTAATAGTTACTCTGCTTACTCTGTGGCCATTCGATTTGCAATGGAATATCAAAAAGTATTTTTTCTCAACTTTTTCGCCTTTCGCCGAAACAACTCTAACCGACCATCTTAACTGGGGATTAGGATCCTACAACCTACTCGAAATGGGATAAATCTGGCCTTTGGAAATCAGTCATCAATCATCGGAAAGAGAGACAAAAATTAATACGTTTGAGGAATTTTTAGTGATTTCATAGTTATTTTCTCTTGTAATGACACGAAAACTCAAAGATTACTGTATAAAATCAAAGAAACGAAATACAACTGTCTAACGGTTGTAATTCCGTTAAAATTGGATCAAATTCGGAGGTGCAATGAAACTTTAAATGTAACACCGACTATCAGAGAAATGGGTTCGGTTGGTTCAACCCAAAAAGTATATTTTTCAAAATATTTTTTATCATGTATAATGGAAGCATCTGCTTACCTTTTATACACCTGCCCTCATTTAGTACAAATTTGCATATTATATTCTTATCCTAGGTAAACAAATGGTCTTCCCTGGAATATGTGTCTAATATTTTTCGTATTTTTTGACCCATAGGAATCAGTGGTCCCACATCTGTACTGGTTAATTTTCTTGTGAAGCAATTTTATTTGGTATTTCCGCAAACATAGAAAGCATTTCAAAAGCGAAAAATCTTTAAAAATTATGTTTTTTTTTTTCAAAAATACAACTATTTCCAGTACAAAACTGTATATATGTTTTTTTTTAATTGTTATTATTCCGTTTATGTGTTAAATTAAAAGAGGGAAAATTCGAACGGTTGTAGTTTGGGATGGAGAGTTGGTGTCCGAGAGGATCGAAGTCACGATAGCTCAAGTGGTTAGAGCAGCGTCGTATTTAGCCGAGGGTCGTGGGTTCGAATCCCGCTCGTGACACTGACTTTTTTATCTCAACCAAGACCTTACATAAAAAGAATAATTGATTATTGTTATTTTGTTTTAAAGGTGGAAAATAAGAATATATTCACCTTGTTGACATGCAAAAACGTTGTAACACTTTTTTACAGAGCTAAGCCCAAATCTGCACAAGCATGAACATACTTGCATGCGGGTGCAGAGTTGAGCCTATCACTTCTCGCATTGGGTATTCCTCGGGTTTATCTGCCCAGCCACCGGAGTTGGCCTCCGGATGCCGTCAACGTCTTGGTCAATACAGCACCCAATGCATTCAGCTCCAAAATCCAAACTTATTTACACTCTCACTCATTCTTAAATACATTATTTCCTATGTACATACCATTCAGGGTGGTGGAATACTCACCCTTTACATCTTTTATAAAACTAGCCTAATTGAGGGTCGATTGAGTACTCAGTAGTTTGCCATCGGCCCTGTCACACTGCACATTCACGCCAATAAAATTATCGATACTGAAGCTATTGTCTTATCTTTCATTTGTCAATACTTATTATACAAATCAATAAACCTTATAGGAATCACACGGAATCACCCTTCAACTAGATGAACACATTGACCAACTAACTCTCCAGATGCCAGTCAGATTCGCGGGCTTTGGCCCAAAAGTAATAGGCCTATTCTTACTCGGGTGTGGACCCGTTTTTAATGAAATAAATCATCCACGTCATTAACCATATAATTTTGTAGTCTTATTAATTTTTTTGAGCCTTTCATTTTTAAAATTAGTACTAAGCAAGTACATGTGATAATTAAAAATTACGAAAAAGCTCCTAGCGATAGTCTAAGGAAACGTAAATTACGAGTTTTATAGATATCTAGTCTAGAAATAATCTTTTTCTGCCATTATAAGGTTTTTTACAGGTCGTAAAAAAACATCCTCATGTGAAAATTAAAAATTACGAAAAGCTCCTAGCGAGTAGCCTAAGGAAACGTAAATTACGTGTTTTATAGATATCTAGTCTAAAAATAATCTTGTTCTGCCATTATAAGGTTACTTACAGGTCGTAACAAAACAATAACTGCTTTCAGCTTTTCTTAACAGTTTTATACATTCTTCGTAAATTACATCTCGAAATGGATGTTAACACTTGTAGTAAAAAAGGCTTAAGTCACTGGCTTAATAAAATTGTATCTTTTTACATTAAATTAAAAAATGCATCCTTCCCTTTTCAGCTATAATAATTAATGAGATCACAATCTTAAAATAACAAGAAATAAAAATTAATTTTTTTATATATTTTAAGATGTGATTCTCAAAATATGTTTATTCACAGTGGTTAATGTGATTTTTGTGTTCATTTTCAGTGTTTCGCCAAGGAGAAATCGGAACGTCCTGGTATGTCATCCTTACCGGTAGTGTTGAAGTCAAAGTCAATCAGGAAAAGGTAACGTACCAACATTAAAAATGTTATTTTTAGTGAGTAGTTAAGTAAAAATTTTACTATCAGTCATTGCTGGCAGGCCTTATCTAGTTCTTTCGCTCCCATGAGTTTGTACGACAAATGACACATGACATTCAAACATATTTCCCTTGTTTTTTTCCCTAAATATATTTATGAACGTTTAACCGTGAAAATATAAATACAAATTCCAATATTTAAAAATACAAAACTTTTGCTGAATGGCAGCTGATAATTAAATGAATTCAAACATTAATTTTACGTATTTTTCTATTAATTATTCTTTGTATGTAAAGTCTTGATTGAGATGAAAAAATAATTAATATGGTCAATTATGACCGCTGAACATATATGGATTAATTAATTTTACGCTTACTTCTTATCGCTCATTAAAAAGTTTTTAATCAACTGTTGATTTTAGTGAGTAGTTAAGTAAAAATTTTACTATCAGTCATTGTTGACAGGCCCTATCTAGTTCTTTCACTCCCATGAGTTTGTACGACAAATGACACATGACATTGTTTTGCAGTGAGAGTAGTTGCAATGAGAAATTGCAATTGTCTTCTTGCTTAATTGAAAGGGGTTAAACCTACTTAGATTATAGAAAAAGACAGCTTGTTGATTAAATAGTGAAAAACAACATCATTTGGGTCATTGCGTGATGTTTCTTCATTTCTAGATCTATAACATTCCAAACTTGAAGTTTATGAATATATTTTCAATTAATTAATCTTTAAGTAAAGTATTGGTTGAGGTAAAAAAGCCAGTGTCACGGGCGGGATTCGAACCCACGACCTTCCTAGATTTATGAATATAATGTATGTAATTATCATGAGTTTTCATGTGTGTACTGGGTTTTGAAATAGGGTTCAATATGAATTTTGTCATATCTGATGAGTGAGAGAAAACAAAATTTTTTCGGGAAAATGTACAGAACACGATAAAGGAAGTATTGAATGAGTTAATTAGTAATTTGTAAACAATAAAAAAAATTGAAGCTAAAACAATGCAATTTTAGAGGCATAAAAAATATAACTAAATAAAAAAATAAAAAGCACGGATGATGTTACAATTTCCCGACAGTTTTATATTTCTATGAATTCGCTTAAATAATTTTAAAAAATCAATTAGCACTTCTTAAACAATTTATAGTTAATTTTATATGGTGGGGTATTTAAATTTAATCTGCTCTTTTGTCCATGCTGAATATTCAAATTCTGTAAGTCCGTAGCGTTTTGAATGGTGAAGTCAATGAAAATTTATGGCACTTGAACCATTTTGTGTTTATTACATGTTGCCATCGACCATGTATTTTTGTAATCCGTCCTCCGCGAGCGTCTCAGGTTTTTGAGCAAAGGCTCCTTCGATTTGATTTTTGCAGTCCACAATTAACTTAGAGTGTTCCATTAATCGATACTTACATAGCCCAGAAAGAGTGAAAATCGGAAAGGGCAATGTCCAATGAATGCAACGAATGGGGTGACAAATCTCGGCCAATGTCCAATAATGAGTGTGGCGACTGCGAAGACATACAGGGTGTCCGAGCTAGTGCGCTCACCCCATTTATTTTCTTTGCGGTTCTAGATAGGAAAAAAGTTTGAACTGAGACTCCCCTTCATTTTTCATGTAGTTTGTTCATGTAAGGTCGATTCATTTTTTCGACCTCGATTCGACATAAGTCGAATTCAAATTCTTAATTTTAAATGAGAACCCCCATTTTTCATATTTTTCTTTAAAACTAGATTTTTTGGGGAGAAAAATGAGCACTGAGTTATTAAAATCGGTCGGATAGAACCCGAGATATTATTTTTTTAAAATAGCCGGAATGCTGTTCTAGTGCGTAAAGCCGGGAACACACTTACCCGATGCTAATCGCAAATCCAAAGTCCAATTTTCCAAAAGATTGTATTACCTCCATGCACATCTGCCCGATGCTATGCAACGCCACCCTACTCTATGCTACGCGATCCCCACTGTCCAAATTTTCGTCGGGTAGCATCGAGTACAGTCGAAGACAAAAGGACCGGACACTCATATTTTTATTCAAACTACATGTATTATTGTCATTATATTAATTACAACAAACTTATTTTAATATAAACCAAATTAACCGAGATCAAAAATCCGTTAGTTTTTATTTAAAAATTTAATTTTAATGGTTTGGTAGAAAATTGATCAAACAACGGAATGCCATTTTTTGATATAATGTATTTAACAAACAATTTATTACACGGTTTTGCTTATAAAATTTAACTAACAATTTATTTCATGGTTTTGCTCAAAATTGTGCATTAAGAACAAAAGAGGCGTTGTGATTGCGATACTGATATGTGATACACGCTGTGTGACTGTACGTGGCGTGCTCTTGGCGTCGAACAGTTGTGCACACCCTACCAAAACGTGACAAGGCGTCGGGTAGCATCGGTTAGCGTCGCATGGCGTTGCGTCGGGTAAGTGTGTTCCAGGCTTTAGGTCGAAACCACTTTATGTTCCCTCCTACTGTAAATATTTTGAAGAAGAGTGGAAAATCAGCCAAAGTACTAAATTCCTGCCAAATCCCATAAATTTCGTATTTTGCATCGTTTTTTTCATTTATTTTAAGGCGAGTTTCTAGAGGAATATCCTCAATATGGTAGGTACCAACTAGATGGATTTCCGGCACGCAATACCAACGCAGTTCGTCCCTCGTTACAGCGAATGTTTTCTAACAGTAAGGGGTAACCGGTCCCTTTTACTGTGGCCTCCTCGCTCCCTCGACCTTACACCTTTAAACTATTTTTTGTATGGTTATTTCAAGAATCGTGTTTACGGTGGGGATTTGAAACCCATCACTAGTTGTGAGGAACTGAGGAAAGAAGTTGTAGAGGCTTCTCATTCTCTTGGCAGGCCGTGCTGTGTGCGATGAATGGTTGAGGCGATCGGGGGCGTGCATGTTTCAACAGGGTGGAAATTTCTTACAGTTGTAATATTTTCATGAGGTTGTTTTTTCTTCCTTTTTATAAGAAATTGAAGTTTGATTTTTTAGTAAATTTTTAAACCAGGAAAGAAAGGTCTTGTCCCAACAAGGGTCTGGAAACGAAAAATAAACAGCGTTAGTTCCTACATTCCTTTGATTTGCTATTTAACCTTTTTATTCCCAGATAGCAATAGTTATGATTAATTGTTAACTCCGCTGTGGATGGTCCCAACCACGGTTGAGAAAGGTATTTAGGAGATGGGATTTGAACTGCAACCAAGGAATTTCGGCGAATGAGTCTTGGGTACGATCAGGTATTGGTCGAGGAGAAAAACAAAACAAAATAGGAAATTTAAACCGGGGACACACCTACCCGATGCAACGCCTTGCGACACCCGATGCTACCCGACGCAAATCCAAAGTCCATTTTTTCATAATATTGCATTACCCCCTTGCACATCTGCCCGATGCTATGCAACGCTACCCTTCTCTACACTCTGCGATCCCCACTGTCCACATTTTCGTCGGGTCGCATCGAGTACAGTCGAAGACAATAGAACAGGACACTCATATTTTTATTCAAACTACACGTATTATTAACCGAGATTAAAAATTTATTAGTTTAATTGGTAGAAAATCGATCAAAACACCGGAAAATCATTTTTTGATATAATGAATTTAACTAACAATTTATCACACGGTTTTGCTTATAAAATTGAATTAACAATTTATATCTTGGTTTTAATCATAAAATTACACCATTTTGCAATTTACAATTTAATTTATATTTTTTGTAGTTTACTTCAAACTAAGTACATGTAATTTTGTTGTTATATTAATTACATGCCTATTTTAATGTAAACCAAATTAAAGGAGATCAAAAATTCATTAGTTTTTATGAAAATTATTTAATTATGATGGTTAGGCAGAAAAGTTATCAAAACACCAGAATAACATTATTTAAAACAATCAAGTTAACAAACATTTTATTGCATGGTTGTTAAATTTAACTAACAATTTATTACAAGATTTTGCTCAAAATAGAGCATTAAGAACAAAAGAGGCGTTGCGATTGTGATAGTGATTATTGTGATACAAGCTGTGTGACTGTACGTGGCGTGCGCTTGACGTCGCATAGATGAGCACACCTTACCAAAACGAGTCAAGGCGTAGGGTATTGTCGCATGGCGTTGCATCGGGTGTGTTCCCGGCTTTATGGGATTTGGCTGGAAGTTAGTAAGCTTTCAGACTTTCCTCTTACTTTGGCTGATTTTCCACTCCTCTTCAAAATATTTGCAGTAGTAGGCTAAATAATGTGGTTTCGACCTACCGCACTAAAACAGCATTCCGGCTATTTTCAAAAAATCAAATCTCCGGTTCTTTCAGACCGATTTTAATAACTCAGTGATAATTTTTCTCCCCAAAAAAGTTCGTTTCAAGTGTGAAAAATGGGGGTTCTCATTTAAAATTAAGAATTTGAATTCAACTTATGCCGAATCGAGGTTGAAAAAAATAAATCGACCTTACATGAACAACCTTTATGAAAAATAAAGTGAAGTTTCAATTCATACTTTTTTCCTATCTAGACCCGGAAAGAAAATATAGTGGTGAGCATTATCCTGGTAGAAATTAATCACCTTGCGATTAACCAATGCCGGTGAATTTTGGCAATTTGCTGATTTTAACCGCTTTATTATGCTCAGTATATTCTAGAATACGGTTTGATTTGGCGGAATAAGCTCATATTAAAGCACCGCCTTCAACATTACCTTCTTTGAATGTAATCTTTTGAAATTTAACGGGAACGGAGGGGCACTTTTCCTCAGGAATTTCCTCTCTGAGAATTGTTGTAAAGTACCAACTTTTTATACCCAGTTATCAATTCTTATAAGAGATACAGTCCAATAAATTCTTCTCAAACATCATGTCGAGAACCCGTAAATTTCCTGGTCAAAGATATCCACTTGCTTTTAGGTGCCTTGAAATACTTGTATGAGGTGTGTTAGGTTTCTCTGTGATGTGTCGTTGA